TCCTCTTTCATACAAGAATGCCAGGCAAAATGAGTTCTTGAAGCTGACTCAAGGTACAATGATTGTTTCTGAATATCATACCAAGTTTGTGGAGCTCTCAAGGTATGCACTGATTAAAGTAAATGAAGAGAGTGATAAATGTAGACGATTTGAAGAGAACTTGAGGCCTGATATTAGGGTGATGGTGACGGGGCAAGGACATGCCAGATTTGGTCTATTAGTAGAGGCGGCCTTGAGAGTTGAGGCAGTATTACAAGCAGGACAGAGTCAGGGGATTCAGTTGGCTATTCGGGGAAATCAAAGTCAAACAGGAACCTCTAGTGGGTAGCATCAAAAGAACAGAGGAAGATTTTGGCCTAGTGTTACTCATACCAGGAGTTTCAAGTCGAAAACTCAGAGTTCTGGATCAAGTCAAGGATCTGATCGTAGTCAGAGCTCCATCCGCCAGCCAGTGCACCATCAGTCTTGTGTTCAGAGGTCTATGGCCTCGAGACCTGTCGACAGCCTTAGCAGTACTAGGTATCCGCCTTGTCAGAATTGCGAGAGATCTCATCTTGGTGAGTTTTTTAAGGGTGCTAGTGGATGCTTTGTGTGCGGACATGAAGGATATTTAAGCAGAGAGTGTCCAGTTCGCTTTCAGCAGGGTGGTATATCACAGGGAGCACAGCCTGGGGATGGTATTTCTAGACAGAATCAGATTCAAGACATGTTAGCAGGTAAAGTGGTACTACTAGTTCTATTCAGTCTAATGTTGCAGGCAGCAGTGGTAATGGACAGAAAGGTCAGGCAGGACGTCCCAGGACTCAGGGAAGAGTTTTTGATGTGACTCAGCATGCTGTCGATGAGTCGCCAGATATGGTCATGGGTACGTTATTTATTTTTGGTAGAAAGGCTCATTCTCTTATTGATTCGGGTGCTACGCATTCATTTATATCATATGCCTTTACTACCTATGCGGACCATATGTCAGAACCGTTAGACAATGATTTGGTGGTAGCAACTCTTGTAGGAGATTCACTGTTAGCTAATAGTGTGTACAAAGATTGCTCTATTAGAGTTAATGATCGAGAGTTGAAAACTAATTTCATTCCCCTTGATATTCATGATTTTGATATTATACTGGGCATGGATTTCTTAGCTGCAAATCATGCTTCAGCTGATTGTTTCCGCAAGCAAGTGGT